CACGCGTATTTGGTAAATCTGGAATTTTTTTTCCAAATTCACCCCCATTATTTTGTTGCAGCTACACGGAAGCCCTACAACTTACCAATGAGGATGATAAAGCACTCCGAGCTGTTCTCTACAGAAATCGTTCACTGTCGAGGTTGAAAGAAGAAGATTTTGAAGGGGCCGAGAGCGATGCTACAAAGGGTGAGTTTTAATTTTTGCGATTCTCTGCCATTTCATTTCACATAGTCAACCATTTCAAAATAGCAAAACTGTGGCTCTCATGTAGCGTTATATTAATCTTTCCGACGCTTTTCCAGTAAGGTGAGGCGGGGCATGTTTTTGGGACACAATAGGTTGTGATTCACAGCTCCTCCCTGGCTTAGTCCCAAGTTCCGTAAGTGGCTCGCTCAATTCAATGTTTCCTTAACAACATAAGCGCCGAAATCTGTTCTTATATCTACTGTTTTATTTGTTTCAATCAATTTTGTCGTTTTTTTTTCTGATGACAATACCCTCCATGGCTCAATTTAGCTCTCGAATATGACGGTGCTGATGCAAAAGCTCTATATCGGCGAGCTCTTGCACGTGAACACCTCGACAACGTTGCAGCAGCATTCAAAGATGCAAAGGAGGCCTTGAGACTGAGCCCCAAAGACAAGTTCGTTTTTCAATTCCTTTTATCTCTTTGAGTTTTTATTTGGGTACTTTTGCAGGGCTATCTCTGAAATGCTGCAGCGACTGGTCGTTGCAAATAATGAGAAGGTGAAGAAAGCTACAAGTATGGATAACAAAGTAAGCGACATGAGCAAGCTTGCTTTCGAGGGTTCAGCTAAGGATAAGGAGCAGAAAGTGCAGGTACTGCTGACTTAGTTGGTTTTCTTTAGAAAGTATTTTCGTCATGTCTAATAACTGATTTTCATGCCTTCAACAATCTTCTTGTCCTTGCCAGAGAAACTGAAGCTGGTGCTGCGAGGATTTGGAACTTAGTGAGTTATCTCTTCACTTCCATCATATTTCCCCCTTTCAAGAATCTTTCGATTTCGTATGCAGGTCAATATGAGGACGGTGTGTACGCGCGGTGATATTCACCTTTTCTCAGTCTCCCCATTTCCATCTTCTTTTCTGTGCACTGTGTGATAGGGCACATAGTCTCAGAACCGTTTATATCGCAGATCAAAATTAGTGGAACCCACCTGGGGTTTTTGGGTTCCGGCACGCTACATCTAGCGGCAGTTAAACGTAACAAAAGCTCGTGTGGGCAACAGCTATATAATATAAGTTTGGAACTACTTCAGACGGAAAAGGCAGAGATTCGAATGTTACGATTATACTAGGGTAATTATTAAGTACAGGAACTCGCTCGCCTCTTTACGACATTTGTACTCCAAAATGGCAGCAAAAACCCAAGAAGACATTTCAAAACTCTACCTCTGTTGTTGGGTATGATAGGAAGCCACTTCAGTGCTCTACTCTTGGGCTATTTACAGGACAACATTTAGTCATAAAGCAAAAATTCTGAAAAAAAAAAGATTGTAGAGTTCACAGCTTTGGATGAATATAATTCGGGACCCTCCCACGTTATTCGTCTGTATTTCCTTCATGCTAAACCTTAACACGTTGACGACAACGCGAGTTTTGGCACTTTTGGCCACGTGGGACCACGGCGTTTTTGCGAGCGCCGCCGCCTCAGGTTGTTCAAGCAAATTTTGAGTGATAAAAACATAAATAATGATCAATACAAGGCCAGATCAATATATTGTAATGAGCACAACCTACTCGGAGGTACAGTAGCGGAATTTCTATTGAAAGACATGGAATAACAATGAAAAAGTGATATTCTTTAGAACAAGCTGCAATAAACTTCAAAGGCAATTTTGAGTTGATTATTTTAATCAAAACACATATATTGTCATCTCTAAGGTACCGTATCTACTTCTACTACTATTTAAACCTTCACATTCATAGGAAGAAAAAGTAAACGAAAAATTTATTAGGCTGAAGATTTCGTATGGTTCAGAAATCCTCCTCCAAATTGAAGCATACGTGACCATTCTATGGACCACTATGTTTTTAGCTAGGTCAAGGTCTCCTCCATTCAATAATTACAAGAAACTTCTAGAAGAACCAGGCGTGCGCGAAAAAATTAGTGTAATGGGTGCGGGGGATATATCCCCCGCACGGTCCGACACGGCCTGCAATGCGCGGGATATATATCCCCCGCGTTGTCGTCAATGTGTTAAAAAGAAAATGCGAATGCCAAATGCCTTACTTCGGTTCCCTAAAGGAGCGAAGCTGGAAGTTAGATAAGGTTTTCCACGCCCTTAGTTCTTCTATCCGCGCAGCTGTCGTCTGCTTTATCTGAAGCCCGTGTGAACTAGATGGCGAGATCTAATCCCTGATCTGTTTTATTTTGTTATGAATAACGGACACTCTCTGAAATTTGTTTGTTCTAGTCAGGCCTGCTCCACACTTATTAACGAAAATACGCAACCGCTTCTCTTCACAAGCTTCTTCCCTCAGACCCTTCCTGTAGTCCTTCATTAATTGCATTATGCTTCAGGGGAAGAGTGTACCAGTTCTGTTGGCCGTTGCAGAAGACAACAATGAGCCACTGGAAATATCGGTGTGTGCAATTCGAATCGTGGATGAGCTAATCAAGAACCATGGCAGAGTAAGTAGTGTTTACGTTTCCTCACGATTAGGTAGGTGTCACACTTCGCGCCCATTCATCTTAGGCGCGAATTCGCGCTTTTCGCGTTGCCGTGCTCGCCAACGTCCAACACGCTAACGCGCTTTCACGATCCTCAGTAAATACTCTGCATTGTATGAGGTCTTTATTGTTGTCTCATAGATTGTGGGTTATTAGTTTTATGACCGGCTTTACAGTCACTCTTGAGTTATCCGCGTTCTCGTTGATAGCTTAGATGAGCCATGGCCAGTACTCTTGGTCTAATTTTTGGCGATTTTGCCTGACTGCTTTGTTTCTAGGCCTTGCTCTTCCTATCCATGCATGACAATGATGGCCTGCGTTCTGTACGACGTGTCTGTCGTATAATGTGTGCAAGAGATGCAAAGGAATACGTGGATGCCGCTGGATTGATTCTTCAACGAATTATTTAATGCTCTTGCGAAGATGGATCGTTCAAAAGAAATAAAGCCCGATCCCGAAGTCGCCGAGGGTAATTTCATGCTCTACTATCAGAGTTTTATTTGGATTGTGTAATGAAACGGAGGTAGAGCGTCAAAAATTGAATCGGATTCTGTCTCTTTGGTTTGAGTCGACACATGCAGACTGCTTCCGAGCTTATAGCTTGTTAGTGTAGCAATTCCCTAATCACAAAACTTCTTACCTATGTCACATCTCCTGTCCACGGTTTGCAAGTGAAATTCGATTTGAACAACGGCTGCATCTCATGGAAATTTTGCATTTTCTCGGATGTTATACAAATAGCGTATTACCTGATCGAGAATTCTCTTCATTTCAGCCAACAAGCTCTGGATAATACGTGTCATTTTGGAGTTACAAAGCATGTTGAAGGACAAAACCGTGTCAGCCATTGTAAGTTACGAAAAACCGCTGAAGTAATAGCAAAGGGATGGTTTGTTGAATTTTCGGTTCCGCGAAATGGTCATTGACGTGTTGCTGAAGAATCTCATGCATATGGATGGAGGAATTCCAAGAGGGGTGGTCGTGGAAATTTGTGGAAGATCAAGGTTTGCTCACAGAAAAGATGGTCTTGATGGGGACGGGTAATAATTATCTTTTCAAGGTCTTCTATGCCTTTTGGATGTAGCATCGCAGATTCCCGAGCAGTGTGACTATCCAGTTTCGCACGAGACACGACAACATGTGGCGATTTGCCTTCAGCGCCTCGACGATGACATGGTACCACCAGTTTGATTCCCTGAAGCCGTTCTGATACCACATCATTTGTTTTCCCTTGAATTTTTCAACTTTCAGGTGTTTGATACGAAAAGAGTGATTTACAAAGAGAAGGTGGACTTGTTTTTCAAGTAAGTTGTTTCATTGTTGTTGAATGTTGTTTACCATTACCGTTCATCTTTCTTAGTGGTCTCATGGCTCGCGCGACCGACGATCCAGAGGGTCATAAAGTTCGCATCAAGCTTGCAGCTTTATTGATTACACTGCTACAGGTATGCCTTTCACCGATTTTCTCTTACTTGCTTCAAATTTTGATTTTTTAAGGGCCCCGTCGACCTTGGTGTTAATCTCGTCACTAACGACCAAGTCACTGCTATAATGCTTCAAATGGCCGCTTCTTCGAATCTCTTGATGCAGGTTTGATAGTTTTACATATTACTGTCCGAGACGCACACTTACTTTATCAATTATTCAGAGCATAGCTGCTGAGTTGATTGTGATGACCGTAGTCAACGCACCATAGAACCAGAGCTACTTCCTATTGAAAGGGTTGTACGTGAGATGCTTTTATGCCGACATATTTCATAAAATCTTTGCTCTTCAGGTTGGCCTTCCAATCCTAAGGAAGTTATATGATTCTGATGACGAGAATGTCAAAGTTCGTGCGCTGGTGGTGAGTAATTCTTTATCGATCCTTCTTTGCTTATCTTGAGTGAACTGGACTATCTGCGCAGAGTGATTGTATTTCTAGTACACCACTGTTTTTCGAATCCGCTCTAATTTTTTTATAATATTTCGAACCTGGTTTGTTGTCTTTGGTTTCTTCTCATTTCGCCTTTTCAAAGAATGCTTTGCCTATACTGAGAGTCAAGCTAAAGTTTCGCTAAGTTACACGGCGCACTCGAGTAGTGTGAAACGCTGTAACCCTTTACCGGCCTATTCAAGCGATTGCATTTCAAAACCAACCCCGGCTTGATCATCATTCAGAATTTAGGGTCTCTGCAAATGTGCTGCAGCTGGTGGTGACGACGCCTCGCGAGCCACCATGAAAGAAGGAGCAGCGCTGAAACTTGCTCACACATGCAAAAAGTTCTTGCTGGATTACAATAAGTACAGCACGGATGTCAGGCGATTTGCTTGCGAAGGTCTTTCCTACCTCTCACTTGATGCTGATGTGAAAGAGTGGATTGTCGAGGATTCGCTTCTGCTCCGAGCTTTATTCTGCCTAGCTCAGTCCGCTGGAGCTCTTTGTGTGTAAGTGTTTGTGTGTGTTAGCAAGTATCCGTACATCGTTCTACAACTGATTTCAGGTACACGCTGGCTACTATTTATGTAAATCTGACGAATTCATACGAGAAACCGCAGGTGGACGAGGAGCTGGTAAAACTTGCTCAGGTATGTCAGCAAATTTCTCAAAAGCGGCTTTATTGTGTATGAACATGCTGTGACTAAACTAAACGTACAAAGCCGTTTTCGAACCAGCCGTACTACGCATGTGAAATTCCAAATTAAAAACAAAGAAGAAACAGAAATTCCTTAAACCATCGTGGAAAGCGGTGCTTTGTGCCTTATGCTGCTAAGTGCTTACAATTATCAATTCTGGTCATAACTTTCCTTACGTGTAACATTTCAGTTTGCCAAGCATCACGTACCTGAGGTTCATCCAAAAGACACTGATGACTATGTGGAGAAGCGAGTACGTTGCCTAGTGGAAGAAGGAGCTGTAGCGGCCTGTGTTGCGATCAGCAAAACGGAATCACACAAAGCCTTGGAGCTTCTTGCTAGGTGTGTAGATCTAAGAGATCTAAGAATCTTTTACGTGACCCTGTCTTTCATTGAATTTAAGTGTTCAGGGCTATGCTCGCGTTTTCCGAACTTGAAGATCTTAGAGGTCGTATTATTTGTGAAGGTGGCACAAAGCTTTGTCTTACGACTAACAAAGGAAGCTACAGCTGAAGGAAAAATCAAAGCTGCTCACGCGATAGCAAAACTAGGAGCAAAGGCAGACCCACAAATCGCTTTTCCTGGTCAAAGAGCATATGAGGTACAGTTGAGCTGAATGAGCTCGAACATAACTTCATTGAAAGAGGCTTTTGTGCAGGTGAAAGCAATTTTTTGAAGTTATCCCTTCATCACATGTTTTCAGGTGGTAAAACCGCTGTGTGATCTTCTGCATCCAGATATTGAAGGAAAACCCAATTACGATGCATTGGTAACTTTGACCAATCTGGTAAGTTACCGACTTCGATTGTTTTTCCATAACTTCCCGCTCTTTTCCTTCTCAAATTATGGTATTGAGTTCGAGTTCGTAGTATTATTGGAAAGCTGGGATACTCGTTCTATGACCAATGTTTCGTATGTTTCTTATTTGAACCTTACTAGGCCAGTGTGAGCGATTCTGTTCGTCGACGTATACTCAAAGAGAGGGCTGTGCCAAAGATCGAAGATTTCTGGTTTATGACCGACCATGAACATCTTCGCTGCGCTGCTGCTGAGTTACTGCTAAATCTCTTATTTTTGGATGAGTTCTACAAGGATACTGTCAGAGTGAGTTTTGAGTTGTTTTCACTTTGAGGCTCACATTTTACGGCTGCTTGTAGTGCATTTTCACTTCAACGTTTCACAGAGTT